CTGACGTACAGAAGAACGGAATAAATAGGTCTATATTATAAATAGATTATAATAAGTATACATTTTTTGAACATGTCATCGTGTATTGTATATATTATATATAGTACCTAGGTAGGGACCACCTACCCATGATAATTTATTTGAAAGTCAGTATAATCCTAATTCAAAATGTATCATACTATTTAAATGCAGTATTGAAATATAATGAAATATATTGTTAATGACTAGATGGCCAGTAGACACCCAATTACCACAATTTACAAAAAATTTCAAAAAACGCTTAGGTACCTAAATTTTTTCAGATTTTTTATGAAAGGTTTTTGTTTTTTTTTTATTGGAAAATGTATATTTTATACAGTACCTAACATAATATGTTTTATATAATATAATATATTAAATTATTATAGATGTATAGATATTTTTCTATTTGATCAAAGTTAACATAATTTATGAAGAACTTCATACTTACTAAAATTATTAAATGTCATTAATAAACACATTTGTTTAGATATTAAGAATTATTGAAAAATATCAGTCTTAGATAGGTATATATATTGTTATATATGTATATACATTTATACAAATAATACACAATTATATTAAAAACAATGATATAGGTAGTACATCAATTTGACAATGGTGCAATCATAATTAATTCGTGGTTCCTAAACTTCACTAAAATATACCTATTATATTGTGTTATAATTATTATAATTTTTTTTATATTAAGTTATTAGGTAATTAAAAATATATATAGTAGGTAGTCGATTAAAAAACATCAGTCTTAGGTATAATCCCGTAATAAGAAATTGTTATTGTTTCATGATGCATTTATGTTACTGTGATCTAGAAGTTTTAATTTATTATATTGTTATCAATAGAGGATTATCCATCCTATCCTAGTATTAGCGATTGCCTAGTAACTTGAAGCGTTGTTGTTAATAGACAATAGTTAATGTCCATCGAAAAAATCTGCTTTTCGCAATATTGAAACAGATTAAATCATCAATAAAGTAAAAATTAACTCAAAACCATTAACCAAAGTAGTAAGAACAAGTCAAGTAATTAGCTACATTTGTATGACTAAATTTACAAGGAGTGTATAATTTTTTTCATAAAAGGCCGGTATACGTACAGATTTCCCTGGCCGAATTTATTTCCCAATCCGTCCCTTTTTGATATGTCTTATGTTTAATTATTGTATTGGATTGGATGTATATGTATATACCTACCCAGATGATTGTGACAATATATATTTTTATATTTTTTCAAAGCAAAACGATATCTATCGAGTACAGGCTACCACATAATTGTTTTAAGTTTGAAAGCATTTTTATATGAATTATTACACTACAGCATCAAGCAACGGGGAACTAATTCAACATAAAATAACATAAAATATATTTTATTCATATTATATTGATTAATTAATCTAGAATAGGAATCACTATATAGTAAGTAATGGTTGTCAATTGTCTATTACCTTAATTATTTATTAAATCGTTTAATTTTTATCCATAAAATAATTTTAATTAGTAAAGCATTTATAATTCAAGTACACATATGACAGTACGTGGTGACCGTGGTGTATCGTATAACTACAATGTAAATATATTAAATATATCGATAATATAACAACTAATAAGGTAACGTTATTGACATGTACGTGCACGTGCAGGGCGCCGGCGCTCCCCTATTTCTTTTAAATACATACACACCAATAATCACTTACTAGGCAGTACGCACAATATGACCCACACGCAGGCACAAATTGCCCACTCCTAAAAACGGTCGGTATTGATGTGGAAGCAGGAAATTAAATTTAAAAAACGTATACGCCAGCGTTATCTAGTAACAGAAATTAGCAACTGTCATGGCTGGTTTTGTGGTCCAATGCTGTTAGGTAGCACTGCTGTTATTGTATTATTAATTTTTATACATTTTATTGTATTTTTTAAATTAAAATATAATATTACACTCGTTTTAAAATGTTGTTATCTAGTGTATATTATAATAATGTTATAATATACATAGACCTCCGTGGTCCCGACGGTTGTATTAGTATAGTTTAGTATATAATATTATTATTATATTAAAACCTTACGTAGGTCAGGTTAGTTTACGCATACCACCTATTTTACGACCAATGTCCTACAAAATATCCGAATGTATATGGAATTGCCTATAAAATGTTCCTTAGATAATTTAGTTAGCAAGATGCATATTAATTATATTTTCTACTGTTCAGACATCCTAAGGATTAGTTACTTACTTAGTTAGTTAATTAGTTTACAATAGCCTATAAATGAGTAAAGTTTGGTTTTAGGTGTTATATACTTATATGGGATCAAACCAGCTTATTCGATATGAATAGTTTCGAGTGAAAACCAAATTCTTTTAGTGTATATAAGTATATAATATTATTTTTACTCTGTAATTTTTATATATTGTATCTAATATTATCCATGAAATAAGTTAATTTTTCAAATTCATATTGCATATAACAGAATGCCTAAAACAAAATTATGTTTAAAAAAAAAATAGTTGGGAAGTCACTTGTCTGCTGTAAAGAAGGTTTCGAGTGTAACTAGGGGATGGGGGGTCTAGGAAGGTCTAACACCACCACAGATGGCTTTAACCTCCCTGGTTAAAATCCAAATTATTGCATATACTGCATACTGTTTAAAGTTTACATTTTGATCAAAACCTCAATCAAAATGGTTTTGTAGTTAAAAATTTGTAAAATATTCAATTTTTATAGCTAAGTACTGAACATTTGAACAAAGATTGTCATAAATAGTTCCTACTAAAATCGATGACCTACAAATCTCTCGATGACCGAGACGAGTACCTAACCTAACCTAACTGGGACCAGTTACTTGTCTATGAAAAAGACTGTCCGTTGTGCCTGCGTGTGCTGCGGTGCAGTTATATAGAAAAATATTACTAATATTAGTGTCACCTCAGCAAAACTTGCTCCGCTGGCCTGACCTTTTTTAATAATCAATTGCTAAAAATATTCCCCCCCCCCCTTCATAGGCATACCTATGTGTACTAAATAATGTATTAATGTATTATATATTAAATAATATTATATTCACGACTATCTACGATATGCGAAATACTATTAAAAAAAATGCCCTCATTTTTAAGGCTATTTTTACATTATAGAATTTCTACTTGCTATATTAGATACTAATGTGCCAAACCGATTCACGTCTTTGTCGCCAAGATGTCGCAGACATCTACTTAATTATATTAAATTGATTATTAGCATTAAAACCGATATAATTAACGAAAATTGTATAGACGACATTAGCATGGTCATAATAGCCGCTGACACTAGTTCGCACGCTCGCCGAACATTAGAAAATAATCAATAAATGACCATTATACCTATAGTATACAAATATCGATTAGAAGATATTTCTTGCCATTAGGTACCAACTAATGAAAAATACTTTAATCCTAATAGCCTAATTAATGTCTTGGTCGTAGCCAGGATGTCGTAGATACTTATAGCGAGTATACAACTCCCTCTTAATATTGAAAAAATGTTCCCTCCTATTTAATTTCCAGGCACCGGACTGAAAGAGCCTGTAGCCGTTTAGTACGTCTACTGTCTCAAACCGTTGTACACGTTTACGCTTCGTTTTTAAAAATGTTTGTGAGTTTTTATTTCAAAAGTGTTTAAACTATAATTAACATGGCTGATTCTATCACCAACAACGCTGTCCTATATAGACCTTCACTTATGTGCCTCCAGCACCCCCCTCGGATCTCATCGACTTTTACATATATATATGTTTAAGTTGTACCTATTTATACCCAGTAATATTAATAAATAGGTACATAAAATAACCCAATAATATTATTTCATTAACTATGATAAAAGGATTATTTTCACATTATTTTTTCAAATATGTCGTAGGTAGCACATTTTTGTTATGAAGTCTGAAGTAGTCAAGTAATAAGTACCTACCTACCTACCAGTGTTTGGAAAGAACGTGAACGACGTTTATATTTTTAATGAAGTTGATCGATTTTTAAACCGTTCAATTTATTTACCATTTAAAAACGAATAAAGTAATGATTTTCTACTAAATTTTTATATGACCATTTTCTATACATGATAAAACTGTCAATATGTTTGAATATGTCTTTTTGAGATATTTATAGATACTTTCAATTTTAAATTTTCTAGTTTTCTATACATTTCGATGAAAACATTTCACGTGATGAATAAGCACAACATTGTAATACAAAGTTCCTCATTAGTTGAAATTCATCTAAATCATGAAAATTTGAAAATTATTTTGTAATTAAAAATGTATAATGTGGACAATAAAGTAATAATTTTTGTTTCTAGGTCAAGATTTTCACACGCTATAAATTTTTTTTTACATCGCGTTTTGGCGTTTATACTAATTATACATAAAAAAGAAACCAATTGAATTATTCAACGAAAATATATATTTGTGCTAAATTAATACAATTTACAGTAGGTACCTATAATTATTTCAAATATTTTTACATACACAGGAATATTTATCAAAAGTGTAACTTACACGTCATAATAATATACCTCTAACATAAATAATTTAATAATGCGTAATAGTGATACAAATTATTATTTTCATTTTACTTCGAAATTTTTGTAACTACAATTATTTTATACATGTTACCTATACATTTTATACAGTTTATACAATTTATACATATTATACATTTTGTACTTCGAAATTATTTCATACATCTTATACATATTATACGTTATATACAGTTTATAGAGTTTATACAATTTAATATTTATACATATCATACATTTTATACATAGGTATTATACATTTTATAAAGTTTATACAATTTATTTATACATATCATATACATCTTCGACAAAGCGTCGAAATAATAATAAAAAAAATTATTGTTAGGTATAGATTTTACTTATACCGCGGTATATTCTATACAGCAGCGTCTGCAATGGCACAGCAGTAATATTATTCCTCGGGACTAGATGAGCAGCATAATAAGCGCCTGAAAAATTTCTTAGTACGCTTCCAAAACGATCGGCTCTTATGGCTTTGACCGTCACCGTGTTCGTGGTCACCTGCTCCTGGTTCGTTATTGTCACATATTATGTGTCCTGCAGTCTCTACACATAGTTGACCGGAATCGCTACATAATTCGGCCACAGTTCGGTCAGCAGGGTTTTCAACTCCGTCATCTGCTGCAGGACTATTCGTGGCGGACGGCGGCACACGATTGGCCGTTTCGGGCGTCGTCGACATGATGTCTGGGGCGGAAAAATAGAGTTTTTTCAGTCGGCTTTGGGCGTAGCAGCTGGCACGACTCTTTGCCAAGTACAAATCCATGTCGTTTAACGAAACGGTCGAAGACACGATACGGTTCCTAGGTCTGACCGCCGCGTTCGTGATCACCACCTGCAGGTCCATTATCTCAGCGTCCTCGGTACTCTGCAGATCCACACTGCTGCAAGTGTCCGGCACAGCCACATCGAGTTCTGCCGGTAGGGATTTCGACTTGGTCGGCGCTAGAATTTTCTTTTCATCCGTTTCAGCCGGTGTCAAAAGCATTATATTCGGCATAGAAGCAGAGTACTGACCGACCAATGGACTCGCCGCCGCACGTCCTTTGTTCGAACTCATGAGATTTGTCGAAGACATCTGAAATTCTGAACAATAGGTACGAAAGTTATGTTAGATTATAACTTACACAAAGAATAACTCGGGATTTAAAGACAAATAAACTATTTATATAATATATTTCCTTGGATACGAGATTTTATACGCTTACTATAGGTCGTATGTCTAGAATACATTTCAATTCAAATTGAGCCAGTTAATTAAATACGAGAATATACAGAGGGATTTACCAGCATGCTCACTCTCGTTTTTCCCTTTAATAATAAATGTATTCAAGTTATAATTTAAAATATGCTCATAGACCATCATTTTATTTTTAATTGTATAGATTTCTATACCGCATTTAAGAAGTGTCCCGTGGCTATATACACATTTATTTTTTTTCAAATGAAACCAATATTTTTTACTGTTAATTGTTAGGCATATGATTTTTTTTTATACCTATCACTTTGACTAATCATTAAACTTAACATTACAATAATTAATATTAATCACCTGCACATGTTATAGCTTAGTCGGCGTACAGGTCTTTCTTTAGAGTGAAATTATATTCTCCTGAATTTCAAAACTATACCATCACACATATTGTTATAATAATAATGTTACGATTGCCCTGTGTAATGTTTAATTGGGTCGATTATACAATAATACGATATTGTGTTTCCCGCAATAAAATAAAATATTAACAATAATGATTTATTTTTCTCTTGATGTGCGTGCGTAGTGTGTGAGAAGAATTCAAAATAATATTTAATTGCGTATGACTCCGTTATGACATAAGTATAAATGTACCTATAATATGTTGGGGTCAAGAATATAATTCACATTATATTTATGAGCTAAAAATATGGACTCTAATAGGCTAATTTAATTCGTTTTAATGACATTTTCATTTTTTAAAATGTTTTATTTTTCTTTATAAATATCACTTAGCTTAAAACTTAAGTATTGTAGGTATACTTATATCCCAAACTTATATATCCAACAACAGTATCATTATGCTGAAGGGGAGTTTCAAACATATTATAACTATTGTTATTTATACCCAATTATATAATTTTATTATTTGTTTAGCTAAATCAATTTTATATTATTAATAATCTATGAGTGATTATTATTAATATTATTTGTTTTATTGTTCTTAATTAACATCAGCTGCAATGCCCATTAGTTACAATTTACAATTACAATTTTTTTTTTAAATTTTATTATACAGGTTAGTTTTGAGTAAGAATTTAAGGATAGGTATGTGTGGGGGTGTCTGCATTTGGTCCGAGTGCTACGTCTGTACTATTGTCTGTTAGTATATTTCAATAATAGGTGTTCGTCACAATACTCTAAGGACTACCTAATTTTATTATATTGTTAGTCACCGGAACAAACTTAACCGGAAACCTAAAATCTAACAAATTGATCTGGTCATAGGTTTATAAAATATAATATTTAAATATGAAGAATAAATATCTCATGGAATTATTGAACTGTTCCAAGTTCTAACTGCAGATAATAGATAAACGATGACAGCTGGTAGGTAAAAATAAATTTCAATATTGATCTCTCCATGGGCTCCAACTAAATACAATTTCGTATCATAAATCACCCTTGTTCCTTAGAATTGAAGATTGAATCATTTGGTCTTGGAAAAATAAACGGGCCGAAAATCTTAACGATTGTTGATTAGAAAAAACGACTTCGCAACGACCATACTCGCGTCGTTGTGTACCCGTTGTCTGGGAAATGGTTGAATTTTTCAAGTAAACTGATTTTGAATTGAACTTCGAGTTCACTCCTTAGAGTAATATAGAGAGGGCCTTACAGAGTTTAATAACGATTCGTTTAAAAATGTACGTTTTTAAAATAGTCAATGTAATAATGTGTAAAGAAACGGACAGAGGTTGCGATGTGGATAATTGTTCCTGTTTAGTTCTATCTATATCTGCTATTATAATGCTGACCTAGAAGCGACGAATCGTCGTGATTTGTCCCATAGCTAAACGTGCAACTTGTTGACAATAACAACAAAATCGACACGTCTTCGGCTTTGCCAACACAACACGATCATTATAGATGAAAACCATCATCTATACCGTATTCTCTATTTTACATTTTTACAGTTTATAAATTATAATAGATACCTACATACCTAACCAAATAATTTGGCTGAGTGTCAGAATTTAGCGTACCTATATTATGACCATTATATACCTACCTACTACCAAACCCACGTGCTACTCAACAAATCTTAAGAGTATTTCCTTTTGAGACAGTGTGCCTTACATATGTGTCTCGGAGTTGTATAATTTTCCATCGATTATCGCTTCAATTATTTATTTAAAAAAAAAAACAAAAAAAGAACCAATATAATATTTTAAATATAGTATAATAGTTGTATTCAAAAATACTATAGAACTATATATTTACCTGCAGACCATATCAGTGTAGTATAATTGTTGTTGTTGTACTACGTAGCCACGTAGGTAGTATTATAAATTACTATAATATAATCACCCAACAAATAGTAATAATAATATTGTAACGTGATATCAATTTTAGAACGAATGTAAATGATTCAATATAATTACTTTAAATATCAAATATAATATATATATCATAACCACAAAAATAGTGTTTGATAAACTGTTAACCCAGTGTACATTATTTTACATAATATTTATTAAGTTACTGAAAGTTTAAGACGTTTAAGTAAATTAAGTACCTACCTACGCCCTTTTCAAGCTGTACCTACATCAATAATTAGGGATGCGCACTTGGCAGGAACGATGCAGCTTTTTAAAAACTAGTGTTGAAACGCATTATATAAGCCTTTGCAGCTCGTTTAAAACAACTAAAACTATAATAATATTCTCATTTTATCTACACATTCGTTCCTCCAAATCTAAGACAGCTATGTCAACATGATTTTTAATTCCATGACCATTATGGCATTATACACCATTTTAACATTATACGGATAATATGACGTGTAACTCGAAAACGCGTTTGTATATTTTAAGAATTCTTTAAAGTTCTACGACAAAGACACGAACTTATGAATGTGTGCATTTCGTAGGAATAAAGACGTACTGAAGAAAAAAACAATTATTATTTGATACAAAAGCAGCGAAAACAAACGAAAAAAGGTGCTCTGCTGTACAGTAGGTTACAAGTGGGTCACTGTATAATGGATAGTATTAAATTTGAATTCAATGATATAACATCATTGTATAAGAAAAATGATTATGTCGGTCTAGGTATAAGATATATTATATACTTATCTATCGTATTAAAAAAATTTACCTAAAATAGGTACCTATAATAAATTCCAAATTAATCATATCACAATATCCATTAGATACTTATAATGCTTTATACGTCAACAACAAACCCTTATACTATCATAGTCAATAGTCTGTAGAATTCTAGACGCTCGTGTTGATAACGTGAGCGATAAAATTATGTTGATTAAATACAAGTCCGTGATAACTGATAACAATCTTTAGGTCGTTGATAACGTGAGTGATAAAAATAATTGACCATACGAACCATAGATAATATATAGAGGATAGGCTATTCCAATACCTACAACCCATGGGTTCGCGTGCCGGAAGAGCCCCAGACTAACATTGGTTATGGTAACCTAGTTATCAATGGTTACGTTATCCTGTTATCTTGTCAATGTATTTGAATTAGGAGCACGAAATGACAAAATTTGAATTATTAAACATTTTACTGAGTAGTGAGTACACTATTCAATTTTATTAACTTTTGTGGCAGGTACAGTACAATTTATAATAAATGGTATGATCGCAAAAGGTATTGTCATTAAATTATTACTACTATATATAATACAGTATGTTACGACACGTACCGATCGTCAAAAAATTATGAACATACATTTTTGTTTAAATCATGGTAAGTAATAGGTACAATATTTACGTATATTTTAAATAGTAAAATTCATAATAACAGGCAAGAAGTTTGAATATTCAAAATGACAATTTAAAACATAGATAATATATATTATCTATGATTTAAAAAGACGCGAAATTTAAATGATTGATAAACGAAAAGTGATAACCGTTGAACCACATTGGACCATCATACTACCACCCTGGTTTCTTGGGTGCTCTCTGGACACGCAAATATTTGTTGAATGGCCTATCCTCTATATATTATCTATGATACGAACGCGGCTGCGGGGAGGGGGAATATGATATACGTCACGCACGTACCCGGTTACGGCGGTGGTGGTGGCGGAGGCTCAGCAGGCTCAGCTGGCGCAGACATCAGAATCGGCTATAATATCATACTACTGCTTTATATTACAATATATAGGTGTTATATATTTTATTATTGTACATAATATATAATAATGTGTGGTAATATGGTATATTGGTACATATAGATCATTTTGATTTTGAAATATAAAAATTATTTTTACCTTTGCTCAAAATGTACTCCAAGAGGACGTCAACGCACTATTTGTATTCTCTCTCTGTCCTCTGATCCATGCGTAACATGGCAAATTTATGATCTGCAGAACCGACATTGTGTTGTTAGCTTTAGTAGGTACTAGATATAATATAGGTACCTATAATCAAACCTAAAGTGAAAATATTATTTGTGTTTTATGTTAACATTCTTACGATATTTTAATTTTTTTATAAGTCAAAGTATGTATAATATTACAATTTATTGATGCTCATATCTCGTTTTAAAATTGAAATATGGTAAAAAGGTCAATACAAGCAGAACACAGATAATATTCTTAACTTTAAGTTATCAATAGGGGAATTCACTCTTATACTATAAACTAACACAATACAAGCCTGCACAAGGTTGGTTCTGCTGAACACTAATTTGCTACCTTTATGTTGAAACGTCGAATTGTGGGTCAGAGATAGAAGACAAATAGTACGCTGACGCATTCTCTTAAAACAATTTTTTAAATATATGTTTATGCTCTAAATCATTTAAAACTATACAACACAGATAAAATAGATTATCATGTAGACTATAGG